AGCCGCCGCTGAAAGAACAGGTCTTAAACTGAATCGTTAAAAAGCGAGTGATGTGAATGGCAGAAGAAACAGAGGAGACAAACCTTTATTAGCATGGAGAAAACTTGGACGAAGTTTACCATTATAAATATTTTGGCTTTACAGTTACGATAGATGATGCCATGCAGAGGTGAATAGAATTGCTTTAACAGCGGCTGCAATTGGAAGCCTAGAGCAGACTTAGCGTCATCAAAGCATGCATTTATCGTCTGTAATCTCAGTCCTATTATGCCGTTTATAAGCTAAAACACAGCTGTTTTGTTTTAGCACCTTCTGACCTCAGAGTTTATTGGTTCTAATAATAATACACCAACAGGTTCTAGTCAGAACCGAACCACGGCAATTATCTATCTTCATTGATCGTTGAATGACGAATTTCACAGGTTTATAGGACCGTGTATAAAGACATACCATCAATGGCCTAAATTTTCATGCTATAGGATTAAAACTACGAATACCACCGCTCTGGCCGCCCACATCGAATTTGGAAAGACCTAATTGTGGAAGACCTGTAGTAGTTTTGCAATATCTCGTTCAGGAATGTAGTAGAAAATCTCTACATATACCACTACCCATTCTTGTTGTTCGCTTCGTGGTACATTTCTTGAATAATATGCAGAGTCTGTGGTAGTCGTAGATGGCTAATAAAAACTGTTATGAATCATGTGGTGACTATGACTAGCTAGATTACAATGTTTCGATTATCGTCGGATCGTGTACTACGGTTAATTGGTGCTTTACTCAATGCTCAATACTGCCAACGATGTATTTGAAGGTCTTTAGGACGTTTCAGCCGATATTTGCTACGTTATCGCTGGCCAGCGAGGGAAACGTCTAAACGGAGTCTTTTCATTTTTACGTACTTTCGCGGAGCCGAACCCGAGGTCTTCATTCTTGTCTGTAAACTGATATCGAGTGAACAAGGATGCCAGTAGCGGACGTAATTCCGGCCTATCAACGGTTCTTTCTGGAATAACGGCTGCAAATAGATTTTTACTGTAACGGCATGAAGTAAATAGAATGCGTTGTTTGACAGTCCTGTGCATATTTCATCCCTGAAGGAAAATACTCCTGACATGAAGAGTGGATGAAATCGTAGTGACTTATCTTCAGTAGTGGCATGTTTCGTTTCAGTTGGTATATCAGGTGTCACACTGTACTGGTAGTTAGAAGTTTTGTATTCATTTCTTCCCATTCAATCTATGATTCTACTTTAATTCAACTTCTCATGTTTCTTCAAATAGCTTTTTCCTGTCGTCGCCCTGAAAAACTCAATAATTCTGTCGTTTTCACTTATCCAGCATAAGCTAGATTTTTTGTGACAGCACTTTAGTTATATTTTTCCATCATGCATATAGCGAATTGACGGCATGTACAATTTCATGCCCGTTCAAACGCTCTTATATAATTTTCATGGCATGAACGATGCCTAGCGCAGTCCATTATGTGATGTCATCTATGCAGGATATACTCCATCCTCCTCTTAATCTAGCGCTTGTAGTACAGCCTTGTGGAAGACTTTTTCAGTCAGTCACCGTCTTTTTCGCGCCTGTATACTTTTAAATGGCGAGAACTGTGTGCCCAACAGTCTTAAGGCCTATTCATTGATTTTGAACTCTTTCCACAAGAGATTCTCAATAGCTTCTAACACAATATCTGAAACGTTTCCATGGACTTGCATGTGCTTCTTTGATGGCCCGGGTTTTACACGAATATTTTTCGGCAAACCGTTTTATAGACCTGATGTCCCTCAGCACTAAGGCGTTTCGAATGCCGCCACGGTGCCATGGTCTGTTTGTACTTTTCAACCAAACTCTCGTCAGTATGGCATATCTTAATCTTGCAATGCCCGTTTTCTTTCAGCACGGAGCTGAAATATCGTAACTTGCTGACTTGCTGCAGTTCAGCACCACCCACTGTAATTCTAGTTGGAATGTGCTTCCCGGCGACTGTTATCATTTTGATTTTATTCAGGTTGAACTTCGGACCAAATTGTTTGCTAGTGACGCTGATTTCCTTCACACTTGTAATTCTGCCAAAAATAGCACAATAAGTAGTACGTCGTTTGTGGAACGTAACTCTGCGATTAACAAACGTTTGGTCCAGCCTTTGAATGCAAACTGCCCGAATACCTCAGTGAGTACGCTAACTGCGAAGGGGCATCCCCAATTTATGCAGTCGAGTAAGAAGGTACGGAGGAAACCTTGTGTTAAACATAGTTTATTTAAGTTTCGGTTGGTCCATATAATCAAGCACCTTGGTGTAATCCACAAAACAGAAGTACAATGGTTGGCAAAATTCCAGGGTTCTCCCAACAATCACTCTGATGTTCATGATATGATCTCTAGTATCTCTGTTGGCACTGAGTCTCGATTGGTCTCCAGCGATGCCGGTGATCACCTTCATGCGTACTCCTTTCAAAATTATTAACAGCAAGAACATTCTGCTCTGAGAGATTAAGGAAATTGTCTTGTACTTCGAAAATTTCATTAAGCCGTTTTACTTTGCTTGCTAAAGGAACACGGTATTCATCCAGTCATTTGAGCAACATCGCGTGCGTCAGACGTTCTTCATATTTCATGAATTGCGTTAATTAGTAAGCCGCGAGCACTTAGTTTTATTTTGGAAGGAATATTAACAAGTCCTGGAACTTTTCCAGATTTAAGTTCCTGAACGGTACGTTGGACCTCAGACCTTAACAGCAGAGAAGTCCCTCATGCAAATCAATATAGAGGCTGAGCGACTAGTTGGAATAAGTCTTCGCGGTACTCTTTTCATCTCATGAACGCTTAATCTGTGTGCCCGTCGCTGATTACACGTGAACGTGTAGCAAAGTCTCTGTGAGAGTTCGAACGTTTCCGTATGTCCTTTTAGATTACATTGTTCGACGAGGCCGAACTTTTTCTCAGATAGGCAGCTAGACGAACATCAAAAATATAAAAGTTATTAAAGTTTCGCAGCAGTTTTTAAATTTGCGTTTACACCATATGATGATTTTTAATCAGCTGCTGGGTAAACGGTTGTATGTCTAGTATGATATGGCATAACCACACCAAAACACGATCCTGTCCTCGTTATTCTCAGGTCAACGACCTGCCACCAGTTTCTCAGCTGGCTGCACGGAAGCAGAGTAGGGTGAATTCTTTGCCTGAAGGAAAGTTGGCAGTTAATAAGAGAAAATTCACCCCTCAATTTGTGTTTGAACCCGCGTGTGCAACGTGCGAAGCAACCTACAGTACAACTGTGCCTCTGCACCCAACTGTTTTATCCCAGAAAAACTTAGCCAAGGCCAATAACTCAGACCGTATACCTAGAAATTCAGAGATTTATCGGCACGGTGGCAAATCGACTGAGAGTCCTTCCGCATTATTGTGGAACATTCGATTCGCCGTTTTTCTTAGCCGTTTCAGACGCATGCCACAATTTCATAAATGCAACGACGTGAACGCACAAAACATGATGAAACGGAGGAGAAAATGAGCAGCGGAAATGAAAGGAAAAACAGTAATTTCGTCGTGCTGGTGCCGCAATGAACACTTACTGTCGACTTGCGCGGGAAACACTTCAGTTTAGTGGCAGTGGAAAACATCATTAATGGTCGCAGTTCTATTCTTGGACCACATCGGTTCTGTTTCTCTAGACTCAAACGTCGCATTCTTTATTGTTTATGAACTGATCGGGTAAATGCGCAAAGCGAAAGCAAAACTACCGCTGTAACACGTGTACAAGCCGTCCATTGCTGTCATAAGAAGCAAACATGTTGTGCATTAACGTGATGTGCCATTCAATTGATGGATTTGATTACCATAACCCGGTTGCATATTCTTTACATGCAATATTAAATCCAATATGCTCCATGTCCACGCTCTTCATCATCAAACTATTACTCATTCAACTTTCATAAAATTACTAACTTTCCGCACATGTCATCAGAAATATACGGAAACTTCTTGACTCTTAAGTTAGCACTGGATGAACACAATGACTGGAATATGTTGAGTACTTTGAGCCAGTAGCTCCTCAAAACTATTAAAGTTCAATACTAGTGACGTAATAACCATAAACATAATTTTAATCGACCCTCACTTAAGGCGGAAGACGGATATGACAGACGAGTAGAGTTTGTAGTATACCTAAGCTGACATAGGAAAATTTTGTTTAGATATTTAAGCAAAAAAAAATTGAGTCATAAGCAACAAATGAATTTAACCATTCATATAGCAGTAGCAGTTTGCAGTTATGATGCATAGCCTTTAAACTTTCGCTTTCTTGAAAAGTCATCGACTTAGATTGGATGGTACTTGAACGAGTTTTAGATTCTTGGCTCATATTTCACCAACTGGCAATTTTCGTGATGTATAGTTCGGGGTATCAGGCGCAATTCAAAGATGGAAAGGTTGCAACGACAGTCTATGTGTTTCGTTACAGACATCGGCAGCACGATGAAAATCATATGAAAGAAAAAGCCTAGACCGCCTTCAACATCGCTATCAAAATACATTTGGTTAAAAAGAACACAAGTTGAAAACTATTTGTTCAAAAAAACACTTAGAAACGCATGACCTGGTCTTACGAAGACGTTCCTAAATTGAAATGAAATTGATTTAGGATCCTTCTCTTATGTAAACCATTCATTAATCAGAAATGTCTTGAAAAACAATACAGAGTGGCAGAAGCTTCTAACATATACGGTAACGTTCGAGCAAAAGGATTTGATATTACTGCTAAAACCATGCCTTCCATAAACACATATACCGTTCCAAATTGGTAATGATGCGGATGTTGACTGTCCCCACTATCGATGAAGAAGTCCAAAAGGAGATACGACACTGCCAAAATTCAAAATCCTTTGGATACGACAGAGTTGAGTGGAAACTCTGAAGTGCAAAGCTGAAAACCTCCACTCGATCCACCTGGCTTTGGACAGCGTCTGACGAAAGTCGGTGATCGCCGAAGACTGGATGAAAAGTGTCATCAAGCCGGTGGTCTTCATGACTGGTAATCGCGCCGATTCTACCAACTATCGAAGAATCACTTTTCTGCCTGTGTTGGAGAAGGCGTTCGCGTGCAACATCATTGGACGACTTAGGTAATCCATCTCTCTGTCCATCGTTCGCTGCGAACTAACCAAACATGCTTCCGTAGTGAGCATGAGTGCATTGGCTGTTCGTGCTGCAGGGAACCGTAGAGCAGTGGTGGAACTGTCAAGTCCCCCGGAACGTGACGCTTCTCAACTTCCGGACAGTTCACCGCCAGATAATGTGGCGGGTTGTTCGCCACTGCGGAATTCTACATGCAATGGTCAACCTGATAGCAGTCTTGAACGAGGGAAAAAATTGCGCTGTTAAAAGTGAAGGATCACTCTTAGGCTGGTAGTTAGTCAAGGCAAAGGTTATTCAACATCATGGCGGACTAGGCAATACGGAAGGGTGTCTCCAAAGATACTGCCAGGAACTGACCATCATTCAGTGATGCAGCTTGAGGTATCCGTCGGCGTTCCTAACGGGCCTTGAATATGCCAGAACGGTGTACAGCACTGCTCTGGAAGTGGGAATACAAGCCAAGGCCACAAGGACAAAGATTATGAGAACTCCCATGGCAACCGTCAGCAGGCGATTATTGGGAAATGGCATTGCGATAGAGGAGACTGGCCG